CACCCACCCAACTACTAACCTCCCGGCGTGTGGCTTAAGTACGGCTGAGCGGACGGGAAGCCCTGTTCTCCACACCCTATGGTCGTATGTACTGAGTTGTGCTTGGTATTGAGACTATAATGTAGCTATTAGTAGCTATGTTAGCTGAATTAGTTGGAGAATATCTAGAGAAGCTTATTTGCAGTCGATGTATTGAATACTACTCAATAAGAATCTGATAATGAACTTCAAAAGGGATACTACTTTAGGCAGCCTTGATCCATCTTGCGGGATTGAACTTCTCGGGGTTAGGATAGTTGAGGTTGTTGTTGTCGATGTGGATAAAGTAGTTTGGCAGGCTGATAGGGAAAAGTGATCTTATTTGCTATTATTAAATCAATCTATATGACCAGTATCCCGGGGAACGGCTTCTTCACTACTTCCTTTGCCTTAGTAACAGCTCCTCAATCTTTCTACTCCTCTACTAACAATCCTGTCTTCATCAATCACAGTCTTGTCATTGTTCTGATGTACCAGCCCTGGCAGTGGCCCCTGGAACTTGCTTATCCTTCAGCACGCTCACTCACTCAAGTGTAGCATTTCCCAGGATCGACAAGCAATACAAAATCAGTCCAGTTTGGAAAACTGCCTGTTGTGACTCGTCGTAAACCCCAAAACCCGTATCTCTCAGGCCGGGGAGAACTGAATCTAGTAAGGATGTTATGCCAATTGAGGTGATAAGGATAGGATTGATATCACCAAAACCGGATAGCCTTTTTGGTCCTTGATTCAGCATCAAATTTTCCCCAACCGGGACCAGGTCCGAAGCGCCTGTCAAAACACTCTTCAAAGGGCCCCTTCCCGCCGACGGAGGGACACTAGTGACATAACTGTGTGCAGGCTATACAGGCCACTAGCCCTTGGAGTTGCTTCTCCAGCGAAATTAGACATTTGACACTAAAGAAAGTGAATTAACTTGCCCAAAGGTACACCAATCTTCACTAAATGCGAACAGGCCCTCTCGCCATCATCAATTTTTTTTTTTTCTTGGTGACCTCGTAATGGCAACGGAAATTTGGTCGTTCTTCATGTGTGGTGCATGAATAACCGTTAAACTTAGGTATTCATCGTAAGAGGAATCAAGCCAAGGCCTATGATTCTCATGCTATGGAGAGCGACTGAGCTTTGTGGTGATTATTTCTATCGACGAAGTAGAGTGGTAATCTTTCCAACCGCTGCTATTTTACAACAACCGCAGTATGCCTTGCCTTTTCTCGGCAATCCTAATATCGTTCTGAGAAAGTAGATTGCGGATGTTAAAAATGGGTAAAGCTTGACATTCATGCATTCAGCATTTGTAATGTTTGTATACTTTGTATATTTACTGGGGCTCTTTTTCTTTTTCTAAAGAGAAACATGTTTCTGCAGAGAGAGAGAGAGAGAGAGAGCAGACTTGCATTCTCGACACACGGTTCTGAGGAATATAAGTTTGCGGAGCATACGCTACAAGATATAGAGAGACCGTTCATCAGTGATTGCTTCTCTGGAATTAACTTTATATCTAGTTAAAGTTTGCTCCCACTTGCTGCCATCTTCTCAATATCAAAATACTGAGCGTAATAGTCCAGACATTCAGGGTTTGCAAGTGTACTGGATGTGTATTCCAGATATGATCTTTTTGATGGAGGCTACCTTCTTTATAGGCGTTCAACAGCACCCCTCCAACCGAATGGACAATACATTTGGGTTGCCCAGTGGTTCCACTTGAATACACCAGGAGGAACGGGTCGTGAAACTGCACTCGTTCAAACTCTAGCCGGTCATGTGGCACCTTAACGAGAAAGTCGTGCAGGGTGCAAGCTTTGGGGACACCACTTGAGACTGGCGGGAGAAAGAGAATCGGGGCATTGCAACGACCCCCTGGAACTCAACGACTCCGTCCAGGCCTTTGACTACTTCTGCAATTTTTGAGCGTAAATCCATCTTCTCCCGATTGTATACCGCGAAGTCATCCATGAAGAGCCAAACAGGTTTTATCTGCGAGAGTCGGTCAAGGAGCCCCTTGGTGCCCATATCAGTGGTAACAGAGGAAAAGATGGCGCCGAGGGCGGTAGTTGCTAGGAAACACGAGCAATGTGTCTAGACTGTTGCTTGCACAGACTGCAATACGGTCTCCACACTTTACTCCATGAGCCTTCAGTGCCTGGACGAGGCGCCCGGTTCGGCTGCGGAGTTCCTTCCAGGTCACATAGGTTTGCCCTTCGGCGCCGGCCTCACGCACCGCGACAACAGCGACCTTGTCATCTTCTTTCCCGCGTAGCCGGTCTCGGGCGTCGCTTGAGAAGAGAAGATTCTCTGCAAAGTTCAATCGGACCCCTTCAAACCAACGAGGAACGGAGTCGATCCTCGCTGTTTCGTCCACGACTATCTCAAATGATCCTTCGTGTATGAGTTGGAAATATTGCCAACAAAAGTCCCAGAACAAAGACCTCTGCTGGATTGAGTACTGGTGAAGGTCATGGAAAGTCTACGCATTGGTCAACGGACTTGCTCTATCCATGATCGCAAACGGGGCATGCTGAGCGCCGTAACTTACAGGGAGGGTTTGTCCAGTGTGTCTTTCAAGAGAGGCTCGGAAACGACCGATGTTCGTCGAAGCTGGGCAGGGATGTTCCCAAAGCTTCCTGGGTATTGATGGGCTTCCCATGGTTGT